GGCGGGCAAGGGGCTGCTTTTCCCTGCACTCAGCACCAGCTTCTTCTCTGCTGGCCAGCAGGGGGTCGGGGCTGTGCACTGCCCCCTGCCTGTACTGCGGGACTGGGGGACACTGGGAGTGGGTGGTTGGGGAGCCAGTGGGAGCACAGGGCCCGCACTGGTGTCCTGGGGCCAGTGCTGGCGGGGCCTAGAGCAGGGTGGCAGGAGTGTAGGGTCCCAGCTGGTAGGGGATCTGTGGAACCAGGCCAGCTCCCCCCTCTCCCTGCTGGTGCAGCCCAGCCCGGCTCCACAGACCCCTGCCAGCCTGTGCCCTGCTTTGGGCCCCACCAGTGCTGGCCCTGGGACATTGGTCCCAAGATGGTGACCAGGTGGCGGGGTACCTGTCAAGGTGCGGGGCTACCCATGCGGCCCTTGACAGCCTGCCAAAACTGGGTAAGCAGCCCTCCAGCCGAAATAATTGCCTTCCCCTGACCTAGTCCACGTCCACACGTGCATGGACATTTGGTTCCTCAGGGACAATTAGCAGTGGTGCACCTTGTGCTGCTGCTACTTGTTCCCAGGGAACATCTGTGTCATGCGTCCTCTGGCACATGGTAGGTTACCCTGTGTGGGGTAGAGAGGCCAGGGCCAGCACTGGGGTGGCCCCAGCAGCCTTACCTGGGGTCCTGGGTACCTCCTGGGGCTGCTGCCGTGGCGATCTTGCCATGCAGAGCCTGGCTGGCAGCTGGGGTGCAACTCTGGCTGGCCAGGCTCCAGTTCTGAGCAGCACACACTGCCCTTACATTTGCTGCTCCACTTTTTTTCCTGTGGGTTTTTGACCCCTGAATGTCCAGGGGTCAAATAAACCCCCCATGCTGCTCCCTTTGCAGTGTGGAGAACAACCAGACGTATGGTATGTGGCATCACAGTCATGTCCACAGTGCTGTATGCTGTATGGCTGTACTCCTCTAGATGTAGCCCTAGTCTTTATGTTTGGGGTCACTTTCTATTTTTCACTTCCCATCTACATGTTCCTATCCACAACTCTCCACTATTCCTGGAAGAGAATTATTTACAAATCCTGCAAATTTTTCTTGTTCCTTATAAAAGACTCCTTTTTGTATTGAAGCAAGGTCCACTTGCAAGCTAGGAAGATCCTGCTTGTAGTGGATGGTGCAGTTGCCCATAAATATACATATATTAGACAGCAAAATTGAAATGAATTACGAACTTGGCTTTGGATGTTCCTTATTTGGTCTTTGAGCTTTAATGGAGTGCATGCTTACTTCCCGAACAGTTCCTCTATAGCCTAACATGTTCTCTAAAGGAAAAGTCTAGTACTGACCTGAATAACTCTCCTTCTCCTAGGATACTTTAAAATCTATTCATTTTGCAAGCTTCTTGAGTGGGCCACCATGTTTCTTTTCTACATGAGCATGATTTCATGGATAATGTTCATCTACAGAAAATGTTGTGAAAACAAGACCCTTCCCCCTCTTCTCTGGTACTTCACTTTATTATCCTGATGAAGGTTTAAATAGAATCTCCTTAGTAGGTCTTCAGCAAATGTGGATAGTAATGGATACCAGCATTTTGGGGGGTGAAGACTTCACATGGAGTCTAACATGTATCAGGAGAAATTTAGGGTTTTGAGAATCTCATGA